GAATAGAGCTACATAGCCCTTGTAACTCCGATGCACGCGGCCTTTTGTTGTTCGTATGTTAAACGGACCTGCATAATCGAAGTTTATCAAGACACAAATAATTTTCAAGAATAAACCAGTCTGTTGGTGCGACTTGAGCAACTGCAGTTTGCTTTGACTTGGATTCGGCAAATGCTGCCGGGAATTTTAACGTTGGTTCCGGCCAATTTTTTGGGAGTGCGACAACCATTCAGGTCCGTGCCACCGCAAACAATGATTTAACAGTTGAATTGGGGCAAATCCTCTTGAGGCGCAATAGACTGGGTTATCTGTTGATCGAACATACTTCCAGTTGCTTACAGCTGTTAGATTGTGAGCTTCACGGACCCGATTTGCAACGAAGTCTTTTAGAATTCCAGGGTGTAATGTATTCTTGGATGGAGTGGGGATGCAATAGTGAATTTGCAGAGGAATGATCGCACCTTCTACCTACTGTCGTTTTAAGCAATCACGGAAGAAAGCTTGTCTCTCAAAACCCATAATTTTGTTGTTGGAAAAGTGTACGCCGGTCGGGACCCATTCATGACATTAGCTAACAGTCGGCGGGTGGATTCTTGGCATTCCTTGAACCAGCGAATTACAAAAAATTTTATTATCAGAGTCCCCTTTAAACCCTTTTATTAAAAAAACTCTAGAAATGATAAAAGACGGGAAGCAAAAAATTTATACACTAAACCGGTACTAATAGAAAGTCATTTAAAAGGCCAGGAGTATCTCAAGATGAAAGCGAGATACTGGGTGCTTTTCATTACCCTCCCTACCTATGCTTCTGGTTGCACTAATATATACCCAAAAGCCCGAACATTCTTTAAACGACCCACATTACCAAGGAATAAAAGAAGCAATTAGCACATTCTGATGTACATATGTATTAACTTACATTATTTATTCCACTAAAATTAAATATTATCCTCTAAATCTTATACCCTAGTTTTATATATTTATACAAAGGTATACTAAGAATGTGAGCGAAAAAAATTAAACTTTGGATTTTTTTTTTTTAATTTCAAATAATTATAAACGTTTCCTTTCCAGTTTTAATTAACTCAAGAAATTTTTGCTTATTCTTCTATCGGAAATTCGCCTTTAATTCAACTCGCACCAAAATTTTCTCGCATGTAATTTATATATCATGACATTTTTTTTTTTGTTTTTTGTTTCTCTACATCAACCTACTTACAAGTATTCTATTTGTTAACATGCTCTCAAAGAAAAGTAAAATTCATAATAGTATATTTCAGCGTGAGTTTCCAATTATGAAATCAACAAAACTGCTTTTCGAACTCCGCCCCGTTGGCGAAAAACAAAAAAAAACAAATTTATATATGTACATACGTTGTGTTCAACGAGTAAGTTGGTCGGATGTGTTTTTTGGATGCGGACTTTATTTAATTTATTAAAGGGGATTTCGCGGCGATTAAATCGTAAAAATTTGCTAAATCAACGTTAGGCAGCCACAACTGCACATCGATGTGATTTAGTGTCAATTTGGATGGAAGTTGGAGCTGAAAAATTGAAATTTTACTTTGAAGCCTAATCGCGTTGGTGTTAAAAGAAGAAAATTCTAACAAAAAAGCCAAAAGCAACTAGTAAGTCGAGCGACTCACCAAGTGAGCGCGATGGAAGAGTGCAGCAAATGCAAAACAACTATTCGTGATAAATCAGTTAGATGTGTGGGTGTATGCGGTCGTAGCTATCACATATCAACAAAATGCTCGGGTCTTGACGACTACAGTAGCAGCTGTCTCATTACGAACAAAATGATTAAGTTTCTGTGTGATGATTGCTTGCAGTTTATACGTAATGTGGATGAAATGTTTAGAGAAGTGCAAGACCAAATGAAGAAAAATGGTAGTTACCTAAAAGAGTACAAAAATAGCTTTAAAGAGGCGATGAAAACAAATGAGCGCGAAATAAAAAGTTTGATAGAAGCTGTAGAAGCTAAGTACTCTGAGCGTGTTCAATCACTTGTGGCAGCGCAGCAATCTTTTGAGAAAAAAGTTGAAGAGGCCGAAAAAAAAGTATCTGACTTTACAAGAGCAATAAAAGAAAACTCCGATAACGTGTGCCGTGAGCTTGACAGTAATAAAAAAGAAAATAAAAAAGTCTGTGAAGAGGTAAAAGGCATCATGAGTAAGCACAGTGGAGTAGTAAGCGAGACGTAGGCGGATAAGCTAAAAAGGGGTGCGGGGTGTGCCCCAGTAATTCTAAAGCCAAAGAAAAGTCAACAAAGTAATATAACCAGAAATGAAGTCAAAGAATGTATTAACCCAGCCAATTTAAAAGTTAAGGTTAATGGGATGTTTAATAGACAGGATGGTGCAGTTGAAATTAAATGTGTAAATAATAGCGATAGAGATATCCTAGCTGATGAAATCAAAAATAAGTTAAGCCAAAAATACGATGTGGAAATCCCAGGCTTGCGATACCCCAAAATATTAATAAGTGGGCTATCGGCGAACTTGGAGTGTGATAAAGTCGAAAAAGCTATACGTAAGCAAAACGATGTCTTATTTGAGCACCTCAAATGTACTAAAGTTTTTAAATCGCAGAAAAATCCTAGAGTGTTTAATGCGTTTATTGAAGTGGATGGTGTAGCCTTCAAAAGCATTATAAAGGAGCAAAGAATCAATATTGAATGGGATCGATGTATGGCTTACGAAAGCGATGGAGTTCTAAGATGTTATAAGTGTTGGGGCTTTAACCACAAAGCTGCAATGTGCAAAGAACAGCATCAGATATGTGCTAAGTGCGGGGAAAATGATCATAGCTATAGAGAATGTCAGAATAACTTTGTGAAATGCAGAAATTGTTGCATAGCGAAAGCAAGACTTAATCTGGCGGACATCGACGAAAAGCATGATGCAAGGGACAGCTGCTGTCGCGTATTACAGAGAAAGGTAAAACTGCAGGCCGAAAGAACATTATACTAGCAATCAAAGGGCAAGATACTATGCCTTTACTTGAACATATGTGGTCTGAGAACGAATTTTTCCCAATTAGAAGTTTTGTTGGAAGACAGTGTATATGACTTCGTATGCTTGTCTGCTACGCCGCAATAGCAAATATCTTGAGCTAGGGACACTGTACAGATCCCCCAACAGGGTAACTTCCCCAGAAAGTGTTTTTTGCGAATTTTTTAAGGATAAGCTGGACTCGCTCTTAGAAACCAGTGATGTCATAATAACTGGAGACTTCAATATACACTGGTATGAAAACACTGTTTCCAGAAGAATCATAAAGCAAGCAACGGATGACAGTAGCTTTAAGCAGATTCTGAATAACCCTACTCGAATAACTGAGTTTTCCGCAACGCTGATAGACTATGTCGTGACAAATATAAGTAATATAAATGCACATACGGTGTCAGACCTCAAAATAAGTGATCATGAAACGATACTAATCGAAATTAATGAGCGTGAGAAAGCAAAGCCCACCAAATCAACGTTAAAAAGATTAACCTTTGACAACCGTATTTTGTGTGATACGGTGAATGCAAGATGTTCAAATTGCAATGAAGGTGAGCTCGAAGCATATGCCACAACATTTAATGAAGCTTTAAAAGAAGCAATCAATAAAATGACAATAGTGAGAACAGTGAAATCTAATGTAAGCAGATGTAGATGGTATAATGCTAGACTCAGGACGTTAAGGCAATCGAAGGAAGCAAGCTATAGGCGGGCAACGTGGACTCGAAATACGGAAGACTGGGCGCGTTATAGAGAATGTAGAAATCGGTACGTTAGTGAGCTGAACCGGGCCAAGTGCCAATATATTGAAGCGAAAATAGATCGGTGTTTGGACCAAAAAACCATGTGGAAAGCAATAAAGGGCCTTGTGCTGAAAAAGGAGCACAAAAATATCAAAAAAATCGACTTCGGAGATAAGATTGTAAATAATAAGCATGAACTTGCCAATCGTCTCAACGAATTCTTCGTAGAAAGTATAAACCGAATAAACGTGGCAATACCAGCGGTTCCTTACATTAACCTTAGGAGCAGAGCGGACACACGCTTTAAGTTTAGTGAAATAAATCTTGTGGAGCTAAAATCAACGCTGACTAAAATGAATAGCAAAAATGATTGTAACTCAATGTCGATTACTTACTTGTTATCCACCTTTAATGTTACTGGGCCGATTGTCCTATCTTTAATTAAAAAGTCACTTGAAACCCGTATATACCCACATCGCTGGAAGCAGTCAATAGTAGTCCCAATAGAAAAAGTAAAAAATGCAAAAAAGCCGGAAGAATACAGACCAATCAACACGCTATTAATTGAAAGCAAAATTATTGAAAAAATTGTTCACGCCCAGCTCGAAAACTATTTTGAGAAGCACAACCTCTTTTGTGAGTATCAGTCTGGATTCAGACTAAAGCATAGCTGTGAATCATTGCTTAACCTTGTCATCACGAAATGGAAGACTGAACGAGATAACAAGCGAGTGATAGCAGCAGTTTTTATTGATCTCCAGAGAGCTTTTGAGACGATCGATAGAACGATATTGTTAAAGAAGTTAGAGGACTACGGGATCTCAGGGGTCGAACACCGTTGGTTCCACAGTTACCTTTCCGGAAGACACCAGAAATCGAGAGTGGAAGGCGTGGAATCTGATTCGACGACAGTTGTACTTGGAGTTCCCCAGGGGGCAGTTCTTGGCACGCTGCTTTTTATTATCTATATCAACGATCTTGAACGAGCTTTGAAGGATGCGAAAATTTGTCTATTTGCTGATGATGCACTACTATACGTGGCGGGAGACACTGCGGATGACTGTAGAGCAAAACTAAACACTGACTTAGTATCTGTAGCACGATACCTTAAAATGAATAAACTGAAAC